TTCTCAGTTGCCTTTTTTTTACTTCTATATTTAAAAAGAAATTTTCATAGTAAAAAAAGTATTGGGTGTGCCTAATTAACATAATTATTATAGCACTCCAAGGTGTTCAAAATTCTACATTTGATATACCAAATTTTTTCGCACTCCGATAAATTAATTCGTAATGAAAAACTCATTATCTCAACATAAAAACTTAACTTCAATCCCAAGAACTCTTACCGATGATATTGACAACAACTTAAAGAGAATAAAATATAACTTAACAGACAGGTTTGTAAAATAAGTTTGAAAAGATGGTTTCGATGTAATGGGAAATGGTCATCATCATTTGAAAAGATAAACGATTGGACCATCTTTTCGACGTGGTGGTTCCCCAATTCATTACGGAGGTCTTCACAAAGTTTATTGGGGTCTCCAAGGAGTCGCTTCATTGTCTAATACACAAGAAAAATAACAAAATTTATGTAATTCCTAAAAAAATGCATGTAAATAGGTGTTAAAAAAAGATATGACTATACGTGATGGTTCACCAACTCATTATGAAAGTCCCCATAAAGTTTTCTTAACAAAGGCCTATAAATACGAAAATTAATTTTTAAAAGTTACTAGCATAAAGAAATAAAAATTAGAGGGGTTTGGTTATAGTTCAGCATCTCACATTTTTTTTCTGGCCAAATTTTTTCTCCAATCTCACAGCATAATCCTTTGATGTCCGTGGAATCAAACGTGTTTAAGCTTGAAAACATTGATAAAAGTGGTAAGAGAAACTATTGATTAAACGGTAAAATCGCCTTCTCGATTTGAGGGTTTCTCAATCCTTTAAAGAAGAAGAATTTTGTAGAGGTTGGAAACTATAAATCGAAGGGAATTTTTTTTTCTAAGAAAAAAGTCTAATGTGGCAGTTTTCTAATCTTTCACGCACTAAAAAAAAGTATAATCACTGGAAACTAAAAATTGAAGGAAAACTTTTTTTCTAAAAAAAAGTCTAATGTGACAATTTTCTAATCTTTCACGAATTAAAAATAAGTATCACTTGCTATGTCATATAGCATAAGAGGAGCGCATTTAAGCTTAGTTCATCAAGCGCAATAAATTTAAGAACGAAATAAATAATCCATATCAAATATAAAGATGCTTTAAATATGTTTCTCTTCTTAAAACTGATCATATTTATATAATAATGTAACCAATTTATTTGTTTGTCAAGTTAATGTTACTATAAAAATATATATTAATAAGTACTATTGGATTCACTTTTGACTTTAGATGATATCAATTTAAAAAATAGAAGAAGTCTATAAATGATAACTTAGGATGTGAAACTTCAAAAAAGAAAAATTCATCTTATATTTCTTTAAAAGGTAAAAAAACAGAGCCTTAGTCCCTTTTAGCCATTTGTGTGTGATTTCTAGGAGAATCAAGAAACCTCTCCCATCAAAAATTTAAAAAAAATGAAAATCATTTGACTGCACATATAAAATTAACCATATTTCTTCCCCAGAAAATTATTGTGTGAGTTCACTCAAAAGGTACGCTATCTAATTCTCATTTCTTTTTCAATTTTGAATAGGACTCACGATTCATTTGACGTAAGATATAAGGTATAATAATCACAAAATAAACTGTCGGATTTTTTTGTTTCATGTTTGATCGAAAATATTAGATAGTCCTTGAACTATTTATCCATTTATCCCGATCATTTTTGGCGTAGCGATCGCTGCAAAAAAACAAACTTTACTGATCTTACTGGGAATATATATAAAATTTTGATTGTTGAATCTGATTGATCTCCTCTGCTGTTTGGTCGTTTCTTAGGCTACACATTTCCGATTTCCTCAGAATTTTAGCAATGGTATGTTGTACTGTTATCTTCTTTTATTATTGGTGCAATGTTTTCCCTGATATGCTTACAAATCCATTCTTCCTTTTAATGAAATGACCCTCTAAGCCATATAAAAATTTTAAAGTATTTGTCTCCAGTATGCAATTGTCAATTATGCTTCTATTACTTAGCTATGTTGTATTGGCAACCATGTTTGATGGCTAAGTAAAAATAGTTTAACGACTAATCATGTGACCTCCCCTCTGCGTCCTAGACAAAGTATTGTTGAGGATTCATATTAATTGGCTAGTTTTACATTGGCTATTGCATCCCTTCTCTATATATAAGTTTTTATAAGGCGGGACTTTTGCCTTCTTGTTATGACATGTTTGCAAAAAAAGAAGTAAAAATTCTGAGTTTCATTTAGCATGATTCTCAGGGTCTCACGGGAATGAATGAGAGAAATAAGAGGATTCACACATTGTCGTGTTTAAGAGGATTTTTTTTTCATTCTCAAGGCTTGAACTCGAGACCTCTTATTAAAGACGGAGGGATTTCAACTATCTCACCACAACCAATACTTTTTAGATACATCCTGATAATATCTGATACTGATATGAGATTATTAACCAATTTAAATTCCTTTTTCATCCCAACTTGTCAAACTACCTCAAATTGGGAACCTTTATAAAAAATATAATAAAATATATAATCATGCAATGATCTGTAAGAATATAACTATTCCTGAGATTTCAAAGAATTGTTGTTCTGAACTATTTTATTTCACTTTTTTTAGCACAATAAGTATCCCACTTGCGCAGTAACATCAAAAAAGAACTTATTGGATTATCTTCTATCGAAAAATAATAGAATGTGAGATGATTACAATTTCTATAAATTAATATAGGAATATAGCAAAAAGAAAATACTTATAGCTTTACATGATGGACACCGACGAAAAAATTTGTTAATAGGAAAAAGATCAAGTCCACTGAACTCACAGTGTCCTCTTAAGAAAATTATTCCCCTCTAGTATCTGAGGTTTGATTTGGAATATGACCTCCCAAGGTAAAATGATCTCAATCACTAGAATATATATACCAAAAACTCTGGTGTCATCGAACCACTCAATAGCAGTAAAGTACACATAGAATATTAGATTTAGTAGTTGAAGAAGAAGTCCATGAATTTTACATTAAAATGAGAGGAAATCCATCAATTATAGAAAACAAAGGGTAGTGAGAAAAGGTTCTTATTGTGCCTTACCGGAAAGGTCACAAACCTTTAGAAAAGTCACAATCTTTCAGAAAGGTCGTCACCTTTCATAAAAGTCACAACTTTCCATAAAAGTCGCAACTTTCCATAAAAATCACAACTTTTCATAAAAGTCGCAACTTTTCATAAAAGTCGCAACATTTCATAAAAGTCACAACTCTTCATTTTTCATTCACACCTTTTTAAAACCCAACAAGCCCCCGCATGAATAGGGAATGACTCGGAGACAGAGAAACAGACAAGTATGTGTACTTTACAAGCAAGAATTAATTGCATCTGGATAAGTAGGTTTCCCCTTAGACTTTTCGTAGTGAACATGTGTCGGATATACTCGATCAATCGGTAAATGCGATATCTTTGAACCATCGAACTTTGGTGTATACCTAGACAACCATATGTCACACAATTAACCATTTACCGTTCATTGTTCTTACGATTGTGTTCGTTTTAGCCATGAACACCTCCTGGTTTCATGAGTGTATAGAAAGATGAGCTTTTGACAATCATCTTCTTTGAAGCGGCTTACACTTCACACTCACATAGGTGATTCCTAACCGTGTTATCGCGTAGATACACTATTTGATCAACTCTGCCAAACTTGGCAAATCATTAAAACCATTAAGCTTTATTAACTCATTAACAAGCCTTAATGTTGTATCCTTGTCCCTGAGCATTGTCTTCATCATGAGAATGGATTGAGTTTGTTGACAATGTTGAACTGTCATTCACAATTTTATTTTTCTCCTTGAATCTAGCTCTTGGGATCTCCAGTCTGCTAGATAGAGTTACCGCCATGATGACTTGTCCTAAGCCATAAATTCATTCCCTTAGATTATCTTTTAAATTCCTCTCTAGTTAGACCTTTTTTTAAGTGGATCAGACACATTATCCTTTAACTTTACATAGTCAATTCTAAGTAGTTTTCAAACTGTATCATGTCTATGTCGTATATGACGAGACTTTTCGTTATACGTCATGCTCCATTCCCAACCGATTGCATCTTGACTGTCAAAGTGTATGCATACTAATGCCAATGGTTTGGGCCAAAATAGAATATATCTATCAAGAAATTTCGGAGTCTTTCAACTTATTCACCGACCTTATCTAGAGCACCTAGCTCAAAGATCATTGTAGAGCTAGTGATACATGTCTCTTTTGAAATATTTCTAAGAGATTGCTCCTCTACCAATAGTAAATACATATCCACTCGTGAATTCTACTTCATTCGTCCGATGATTCAATTTGCATCACTATATCTTTCAATATTGTTGGATATTGTTATAATGCAAGACATAGTTTTAAGTATTACTTTAAATACTTCAAAACTCTATTTATTGTCATCTAATGAATTTATTTGGGATCACTTGTGAACCGACACAGTTTAAAATAGCAAATGCTATATCTCATCACACACACTATATGATCCAGTTGTGAGTCACTTTTGTTTTCACTCTTTTGAAATGCAAAGCTCACATTTATTGGAGACTTGACAATATTTACATCCAAATATTTGAACTAGTGAAGTACCTTTTCAATGCAATGAGACTGTGAAAATGCTAAACATTATGGGGTTCTACGAATTCTTATATCTAAGATCGCATTAGCAACTCGAATAATTTTCATTCCACTTGCTTTATAGCATACGTTTAGTAGCATTTATGTCATTACTGTCTCTATTGATGATCAACATATCACCACTATACAAACAAACAATGACCTTATGAGTTTAATGTGAACACATTTATCACTTCCATCATTCTTCAATCCATTTGCCGACATGGTTTGATCAAATTATGTCATTGTTTGGGTGCTTCCACTTAACAAGTTCTCACACATTCTTTTATTTACCAGGAACCACAAAATCCTCAGGTTGTTCC